AGTGCATAGTGTGTGTGTGTGCGTGGGGTGAGTGGATGTGCACATTCGTTGCAGACAGCCCCTCTGTGATATGAATCACTCCTTCTGTCTCCACTAACTTACACACACACACACACACACACACACACACATACACACGCACGCACGCACACACACACACACACACACACACAACTCACGGTGCAATCAGCGCAGCCTGCACAGCGCTCTTTCTTGCAGATGGGTGTGTTGAGTCCAATGGGCACGGACGTGGCTGGGAAGGGCACCACGCTCTCGTTGATGCCGCGCGTGAAGAGCTGCGCCTGCGAGGCATCTGCAAAGCTCACTCGCCGCTTGTCCTTGCCTACGGCTGCCTTCTTGCCCTTGTCCTGTTTTGGCGTCGCGTTCTTCTTCCCTGGGCCTTGGTTCTTGGGGCTGCTCGCTGCGCTACCGCTGCCATCGCTGCCTCCCTTCTTGCCCTTGGCAGCCATGCTGTTGGCGTGCTGCTGTGATGGCGCTGTGTGATTGTGTGATTGTGTGTGTGTGCGTCGCCATCAAAGCAACACGTGGGTTGTTTTGGTTGTGTTGTTGTTTGTGGCGATTCGCAATTTGGCCGTTTTTTGTCGCTCATGTCGTGTGTGTGTGTGTGTGTGTGTGTGTGTGTGTGTGTGTGTGTGTGTGTGTGTGTGTGTGTGTGTGTGTGTGTGTGTGTGTGGCGTGTGTGTGTGTGTGTGTGGCCAAAGACGCTGCTGCAGGGCACGTTTCACATCTCCAAGTGCGCGAGATTTGGGTTTCATTATGGGGACACAACACACAAACGCCGTTGCATGTGCGTGTGTTGGTGAAGGGTGTGTGCGAATGCGCAAGCCACACGATGGCACTCGTAAACGCACGTAATCATGCACATACACGCACACCCACGTACTCATACACGCACAGGAGCGCATATGCACCGCCATCACACGGACGTTGGGTCGAGTACGATGCGCTCGATGTTGCTTGACGGGTGCTGGTCAATGGCGGTGATAATCGCCTGCGCCACGGCCTCTGGCGCCAACATCTTCTCGCGCGGCGGGATGTCCTCTGGCGCACGGCCCCCGCTCCGGTGCGCCTACACGGGCCGTTGGTGGTGGCATGTGTGTGCGGGGGGGGGGGGGGTTACGCGCAAGTGCACGAGAAGCGAGAGAGAGAGAGAGAGAGAGAGAGAGAGAGAGAGAGAGAGAGAGAGAGAGAGAGAGAGAGAGAGAGAGAGAGAGAGTTGGAAAACGACAGGGAGAGCGTGTGTCTTTAGCTTCTGATTCAAAGACAGCCACGTGCACACACACACACACACACACACACACACACACACACACACACACACACACACACACACACACGCACAGCACGGCTGGAAAGCGCAGAACAAAAAAGGCCATCCATCATCACTGCTTCCGTCTCAAGGAGTCCCAATGTGTCTCAAAGACACACACACACACACACACCTTCTTGCCTGTCATCTCATTCACGTGAAGCCATGAACACTCTCTCGTCCCCTCACACACACCACACACACACACACACACACACACACAAAGAGCGAGCGTGACCGCTTGCTTGCCCGGCGTGGCTTCTTTCCTCGCGCCCGCTTCCCCTTCCTTCTCTTTCTGCCGAGCTAGATGGACTGCTTGCTCTTTTTCGAGGGAACCAAAAACAACACGCCGGCATTGGCAGTCATCAACAACCACGCGTGCGCGCCGGTGCTGCGGGCCTTCTTGCTCTTCCTTCTCTTCCTCTTGCTCGCCTGCCGGTGCTGGCGGTGGTGGCGGTGGTGCTGGCTCTGTTTGGCTGGCCAGCGACAGCCAAGCTCACGCCCCCCCTCCCTGAACCGACTACAGCTAGGGGGTGGTGGATGGAGCGTGTGTTTTTTCTTGGTTTGGTGCACCCCACCCGCCCCCCCCCTTCAAAAAAAAAACAGCCTCTGCCTGCCGCTGGCTGTGTCGGGACTTGAAAAAAGAAAGGCGGGGGGGGAATTTTACTCTCCGAAAGTGACTCTGGGGTAAACCGAACGCAACGCGCGGC